GGTGCATTCCTACGGTTACAAGTGTGGCACCCGCCACCTCTTCGCGAAGAAGTTTCGCAAGCACGGGAACCCCTCCGTGAGCACCCTGCTGACGAACTTCAAGGTCGGCGACTACGTCGACGTCGTGGCGGACTCCGCCGTGCGGGCCGGGATGCCGCACAAGTACTACCACGGCCGCACGGGCATCGTCTGGAACGTCACCCCGCGCGGCGTCGGCGTGATTGTGAACAAGCCGGTCCGCAACCGCACGATCCGCAAGCGCATCTGCGTGCGCTTCGAGCACGTGCGCAAGTCGCGCTGCCAGGAGGCCTTCAAGCAGAAGCAGAAGGACTTTGCGGCCTTCCAGGCGGCGAAGAAGGCCGGTAAGCCGCTGCCTGCCCCGAAGAAGAGCCTCCGCAACGGCGGCATCGTTCGCCCGAAGAAGGTGGAGGTGCTCGCCCGCCGCACCGCCGACTACGAGGCCATGATCCCCTACTAAGCGAGAACCATCCGTCGCTGAGGCTGTCGTTGCTTATTTGATGCTTTCGATACTTTTTTTATTTTTGAAATTTCTGAAGCTTGAGGGCGCTTCCCCCTTTTTCCCCCCAGAGGGACTGTCGTCGCATTCCGGGTAGCTGTGTGGCTGCTGTATCAACCCACGTGGCCTATTTCCGCATTTCCTCCGCTCCTTCCTCGGCTGTCGTTTTTTTTTTTTGCTCTTCTTTCCTTTTCTGCGTAGGCAAAACCCGTGCTTCAGGCAATAGACAGGAGGACCAGGCGCGTTAGTTTCCTTTCGGTCAGTTTCTCGCGCACTGCACCGAGGCCTTCGCCTTTCGATTCCGTGCAACCACCGCTGTTGAGGACGAACATATTTTATAGGGAACGCGCCGCTCTGCGTGCGCGGATGGCTTTGCGGGGATATCTATTCGCATTGGCGCTGCAGGGTGGGAGCAGGGGTGGGGCGCGACACGGCAAACTCCTTGCCTAGCTTCACTGCAGTGAAGGGTGTGTAAGATGATGGCGTTCTTCACTCTCTGCCTCTGCCTCTTCTCTCCCTGCTCGTCTATTTGCTTCTGATGTGGATGTATGCCTGCATATTGGATTTACTTGCTGTGGCTGCTGATAAGTTTCTATTTCTGGTGTTAGTGGTGGTGGGGGAACAGGCTGTCCTGCTCGCTGTGTTGCGGCTGTGTGCCGCGTTGGTGTTCACTGGCTGCTCTTGTTGTATTTTCTGTGCGCAAGGCCGTCGGCTTCTGCGGCAAGTCTGCTGGCAGGGCAACCTGCAAATTTACCCACGCTTCCCTTCACTGAGGTGAGTACGCTGTCGCTCTCTCACTCTCTCTCGCTTGCTATTTCTCACTCATTCTCCGGGGTGAGGGGAACACTGAGTAGAACCACTAGATGAGTATTCCAACCTCCCTCCATGCCGCGCGGGAGCTGTTCCGCGTGAAGGCGTCTGGCAATGAATTTGTTCTGCTCGTGCATGCGGCGACCAATGAGGAGCCGTGGGGGCCAACAGGAACGCAGATGGATGAAGTCTGTCGCGCCTTTGCCCGCGGGTCATTTGAAATCATGGATGAGATTAAGCTGCGCCTGAAAAACCGCGATAAGTCGTGGCGTCCTTGTTACAAAAGCCTACTTCTTCTGGACCACCTTGCTCGCAACGTGCCCGAGTCGGGGCTGCCGGCAATTTGCTCTGTCATACCCATGCTCCGCAACATATCTCAGACGTTCTACTACACGGGGAGAAAAGGGACCGACCACGGCCTGTCGGTGCGGGAGCGCGCAAAGAAGCTCTGCGACCTCCTCAGCGACGGCGCGGTGCTCCGTGAGGAGCGCGAGAAGGCGGCGCTGACACGCTTCAAACTTTCTGGTGCGTCCGGCGGTGGCGTTGGCGGTGGCGGCCACTCAAACTCCCGCTATCAAGGATATTCCAGCAGCATGCTGCCGCCGTCGGCTTTGCTGCCTAGCGCGTACGAAACTCAAACCCAGCCGACCCGCACGAAGGAGGAACAGGAGCGGTACGACATGGAACTTGCAGCCCGCCTGCAGCGCGAAGAGGAAATGCGCGCTGGCATGTCTGCCGTGGATGTGGAACGGATGTTCAACCGGCAAGTCCCACGACAAGCTGAACCCGTGGCGCAGGCAGCTCGCAATTCCGACCTCGAGCTCGCGCGCCGTCTTCAGGAGGAGGAGGATCAGAAGCTGCATGGGCGTCGTGTCAGTGCGTCGTCGTCCCCTGCACAGGGCACATCAACGGGAGCGTCAGCAATGCCTCCTTCCCCCACTCCTGCGACGCCTTCTCCCAAGCCAGAGCCCCAGCCCCCAAAGAAGGACGTCCTGGATGACTTGTTTGCCCCAGCACCTCTGACGACGACGACGACGACGACGACGAACGCATCTGCCCAACAACCTGGTTGGGCGAACAGCGCACCGCTTCAACAGCAGCCACCCACTTCTGCTGATCCCTTTGATGCATTCCTGGACACGCGTATTCAGCAGCAGCAACAGCAGCAATATCCACAGCAAGTGGCATACGGTAGTTTTCCACCGTCGATGGCTCCACCACAGCAGTTTTCTGGCATGATGGCAGGTGGCGGTGGCGGTGGCGGATGGAACGGTGCGCCACAACCATCGATGACGATGCCGGCCGACGGACGCGGGACGGGCTGGTCGAGTGGGGCCCCTGCACAACCGTCATTTGGAGGGCTGCCCACGCAAGCTTCTTGGGGCGCGCCGTCCGCCACAGGCAACGTCTACGCTCCAACCGGGGCGCAAGGGGTGCCACTTGCTGCGAATGGAACTAATAACACGCAGGGATGGGCCTCTTTTACAAGCGCAGGTGCCGCTGCGAACAACACCAGCTCAATGGAGGAGCAAATGGCACACTTTTCCGGGCAAGTGAGTGGTCACCCCCAGCCATCAGCGAAGTCGTTGAATGCCCTTATGGCGGAGCGCCGAGGGATGGAGTAGTAACTAGTAAATTGATCCTTTCTTTCCGAACGCGAGTGCACCCGCAATTTCATGTTTGGGGAGCTGTGTATTTCTATATGGTTGTGTGTGTGTTTTTTGGTTTTGCTGCGGAGGTTCAGAATTTGAGCGGGTCACACCGATGGAAGAAGAAGATGAGGGAAAAAACAGTAACAAAAAAGAAGGAAAAGTACTATGAGTTTCCTCTCAAGTCAAATATGTGCATGTAAGGCCAGAAAGGAAACAGGTTAGGAGAGAAAGTTAACGGAAACAAAGAAATGGAAAATGGGCGGACCGTTCTCTTTCACTTTTTTTTTTATTGCTTTCTGCGTTCTGTGAATGCTGCGTCGCACGGCGGGGACCCGGGGGCGTGTGTCTCTCTTTCCTCCCCCTTGCTGTTTGTCTAATTGAGGTTGCGTCTTCTTGGAAGTCCCTTCCGGCGTGCGGAACTTTGCTTTTTATCCTTGCATCGCGATCAGCAAGCAGTAGAGGGGAATAGCGGAAAACAACAAGAGGAAGAAATAGGTGTATAGGGAAAGAACAGCATACCGACTCATGCTCCGTCGAAGTGCCATTGTGAGAGGTCACGCTACCTCAAACCTCTTCGCTCCGCCTTTCTCCGGCCGCTGGTTTAACCCTCCCCATCAGTGGACAATGACAGACACCTTCGTGCCGTTTTTCTTTCTTTGCTCTGTTCCTATGGCAATTTGCATCTACCTTTATCATGCTGCGTACATGCCGCATTACTCTCACTTCCAGGATCAGAACTACTATGCGTCGCAGGTGTACACAAAAGATTTCATTCATAAGTACAAGCGACTAGAACGTTGGAGATGGTACTAGTGGAGGGAGGGAGGAAGCGGGGTGCACTTTTGCTCCAAATACCTGATTACTATTGTTGTTGCTCTTTGCCTTGCTGTGAGTAATGAAGGCATTGAGGAAGTGGGATGAGATGGGCGTTGCTGTGAGCTGGGGGAAAAAAAAAGTGGGGAATTTTTCTGCTGACCAACTCTTTTCTCTGATTTAAAAGTAGGCAGTGATATATATATATATATATATGCGTGTGTGTGTCTATGTGTGTATATATGTCTCTCTTAGTTGAGTGTACTGTGTGTAGCGCAGGGTGTTTTCTCTGTTTTCTCTGCATGAAGGATCAACGGGAGGGGCTATGAATATTGCCTTTTTTTTTCGTGACCCAGCTGTTGTACTCTTCATGCTTGGAGGGTGTGGGGATGATGTGCGCTTTTTGTTGTTCTGCCTTTTTTTTGTCCCTTGTTTTCTTCCGCAGAGTGTAAATGGACCTCTAGCTAAGGTTTCGTAGCCCCCCAGATTATTTGTTTTTATTTTCATTTTTGCTTTTGGGTGGCAGTGAGGGAGGGGAAGGTTGGAGACATATGCCCTGCTCATTCACTCACTCACTCACTCAGTCTCTGTGTGCGTGCACGTGGCGTCTTACAGGGGTGCGGGCAGGAGCCAGTGAGGCGGGGGCCCAGTGCACGATTTTCGCAGCAAATCCTCGATGATACGGCAGGACGAATTTTGTACGTGCCGTCTGGCGGTGTTTAGAGAGTTCAACTCCCCCCGTCGCCTTTTCCCTCCCTGTTTGCGGCTCTGGTGCCGTTGCGTTGCCATGAACGACATGGGACCCGTCGGCGACTGGCTGGGCATGAGGCGGGGTCCGGGGTTGCAGTTTGTGCTTCCCTCGGGCTTTGCTGCTCATTGTTTTTTGGGCGTTTCGTCTACTTGGGACCACAGTGATGCTGCGGCTGCTGTACGGACTCTACGAGGGTGGCTGGGTTTGAGTTGCGCCTGCGAAGTCCTGCGGAGGCGCGCTGTGGCGAAGAAGTAGGAGGCAAATAAGTAAAATAACGAGTGAAAGTGACAGTGCCATATCGGTTCGCTGACAAAATATCGGCCATGGGGGCTTTTGTTCTTTATCTTCGTGCGCGCGCGCTCTCTATATATCTTTCTCTTTATTTGCGTGTGTGTGTGTGTGTGTGTGTGTTCGCTTCTTCCCCCTGTAAATATGCGTTTGTTTCCGTCACATGTGTTGTGTGCTCGTCCTCCCTCCCACTTCGCATCTGTTTTCGTCCGTCGCAGTCTGCAGCCATGTCGGGGCCGGTCGTGGACGCGGAGGTCGCACTCGCCCGGTGCATTGAGGCAATGCACAGTACACTACTGGCCGCAGTGGCGGACGCCCTCCCGCAGTCCACAGAGGCAGCGGAGGCAGCGGGCGCGGGGGAGGGAGTTGTCGACACCGTGGCGCAGCGACTGGAATGGGAGATGGGGGTTGAACGGCAGCGCATTGACGGGTTGGTCGGAGGACTCGAGCAACACTTCGCTGCGCTGGAGCACGCGCTGTTGGCGCTGCCGGACATTCCCGCAGACTCCATTGACCGCGACATTGAGAGATTGAACGCGGAGGCTGCATCCCTCGCACAGGCGATGGTGGCGGCGTACGACGAGGCGGAGGCGCTTGCTGCGCAGCTGGAGCATGAAATCAACTCCCAACCGGTGCCTTCCATCTGAGAGTTTGCTGCTCTGGCGCGAGTTGCCCAAACAAAAAAACAAACTCTCTCTCTCTCACACACACACACACTTAGTCTCGGTGCGTGTATGTGCGTGTTTGTGCGTGATTCCCTGTGGCCGAAAACGAACCGGCGACAAGGGGAGGAGGGGGGAGGGACAAACACGTCACGGTGCAAAAGGAGTGTTTGATAGCGCGTTTGAACCACCATTTGAAAGTGCGTCGCGAGGCGTGCATGCACGTGTCTTCCTTCTTCCTTTGCCTCGTGGGCTTCTTACTTTTTCTTGGCGGCAGAGTAGTGGGCAGGATGCGCGTTGCCGCGGTGCTGCGGCGCGGCAGGGTGGACATGGAGCCGTGGATGGGCGTCAGCTGCTACCCCGTGTCGCCCAGCTTCGTGGGCGGCGTCCCGTCCGTCAAGCCGGCGTACGATCACTACAAGATGATCCGACCGCAGCGACCACTTCGGGCGATTGGCATCACGGGCTCGCTTCCACCGGTGCTGCACAACCGCATGGAACAGTTGGTGCAGCTCGAGAACGCCATTGCGCTGCAACGCGTGGAGCGACAGGTGGAGATGACGCTTTCGCAGCTTTCTCTCGGGATCCGCAACGCGGAGGATTTCTTGGAGAAGCATCTGCTTCACGCCACGGTTCGTCCCGCGCTGCACACACTGTGGTTTCACGAAGGGGGCCTTCGGTACCACCAACATGTTCTCTCCACACTTGGCGCACACCATCTCGTTCCACTGTTTAGTCTCTTGGCCTACGACGTGGAGTGCGGCAAGATGTCGCTCTACGAGGCAGTAGAGCTTTACGAGGAACTGATGGACTGCTCCGTCGCCCAGCCCAAGGTCGTGCAGAGGGAGCTGACAAATCAGATGGTGCGCTGCTACTGCTTGAATGACGAGTACGAGAGGGCGTTAGATGTGGTGCTGGAGATGAAGGCGAAAAAGATTCGTAGGACCTTTGTGACGTACGCCCCGCTCTTTCGCATGATCCGCGCCAGCGAGGATGCCGAGAGGCAGCTGGCACTTCTGAAGTTTATGTACGACGTGGAGGGTGGGCGGCTGCTGAAGTTCTTGTACATTGATGTCCCTCGGATGTTCTACATGTTTGGTGTTTTTATCCGCTACAATTGGGCGCTCATCAACTGCATCTTCGCCGTTGTCTGCACCATTGCCGTCCTCTACGTGGCGAATTTCGGGCTGTGAGGCCCCGACTGTGAGGTGTGCGCCTCTCTCTCTCTCTCTTTTTCTCTTTCTTTCTCGGCGTGTGTGTGCCGCTGTCACCCTTCCTGCCGCCTTTTGTTGTTATTGCGGGCGGCGCGGTCCCCCCCCCCCGATGCGCCGCCTCAAGTGTTCGCCACAGTTCTGCCGCAGCCGCATTTTGCATCTCCGTGTGTTGTCATAACCCCTCCGGCATCCTTTTTCTTCTTCTTTTTTCTTCTCTTCTCTTTGCTTTTTAATTGAAATGCTGCCATTCTCGCCGCTGCGGAACAGGAGGAGCGTGCAATACAAAAAGAAGAGGAGGGAAGGGGCGTTTCTCTTGCCGTTGTTGTCTGCGGAAGTGGTTTGACGATCATGTCGACAAAGTCCTCGCTGCGCAGTTCCCGCTCGCATGCCTCGTCGGTGGGTGAGAACTACACGTCGACGCAAAGCTGCGTCTCCAGCCGCCACCGCCGACAGCAGCAAAAGGGGGAGCCGCCGCTGCCGCCGGCAATGATGACGCCATTGGAACGCCTCCAGCTCATCCGTAATGCCCTGACGCGCCTGCAATACATCGGGGAGCGCCAGCTGCACAGCGCCACGCTTGACACCGCCGCTAGTGAGAAGGTACTTGGCTTCTTTGACAGGCTACGCGAGCGACTGCCGAAGCTTGAGTATAACCCGCGGAAGCTCGGGACTCCAGACGGAGGTGGTCCCAAGCAGCTTCACTACGTGCGCGAGCAGGTGCTCCGCCTGCGTGACACAGCGACGGCGGTGCTTAGCAGCTGCGAGGCCGCAACGGGAAAGTGTGATGCCGTGTATGAGGCATTGTCGTATCACCACCTGCGGGAGGTCTTGCGGGAGCTGGAGGAGTTGCAGTCTCTCCTGAGCCATGCGCCGTCCGAGCTGCCAAGCCGCGTCAACACGGAGCTCTTGGCGGACCTGGTGTCGTTTCACATCACCGATTTTGACGCCTTTGCGGAGCAGCGGGTGGAGGCCTTTGTGGGCGAAGCAAAGAATGAGGGGGCACTTTTCACGGCTGTCGTGAATGAGATGACGCAGCGGGCGCCTGCACCGCTTGGGCTTGTTTCCGTCTTTATTTTGGACGTGGCCATCGGCGTGCGACCGGGCCGCTGTGCCCGCATTGTCATTGACCACGCGCAGCACAACCTCACGAGGCTCGACAACCGTCTGCACACCGCCGACGCCGTCCTCGCCGCGATGACCCCGGAGAGCGACGTGCCGGTGGAGGTGCAGCGCAGGGAGCTGACTATTTTAAAGGACCGGGTGAGGGCGGCCCTGGCGGAGCTGCTTCGTCTAAAGAAGAAGTGGGAGGAGGAGGAGCAGAGCACGCTGGAGCGGGCTGCCTCGGGACAGCACGTGCTCTCATCTCTGGTGGAGGTGAAGCGGCTGAAGGAGGCAGAAATCATCGAGGAGGCGCAGCAAGTGCATGACCGGGCGGTGCACTCCTGCCTTGCCTTCAACACGCCGCAGTACTCTCGCCGCTACAGCGAAACCTACGCCCAGCCGTGTCACGTGCGGCTTGGTTTCAAGTTTCTGCAGGGAGAGCACGGGGCGTCGCCGGCAAAGTCGGTGACCCTCTACACGTTGATGCCGGAGTTCCTCTCATTAATGCGGCAGCAAAACATTCCCAAGTCAGAGCACGAGCGTTACGCGGCGTTGGTGCCGAGCAAAGAGCAGGTGTGGGTCTCCTTCTCTGAATTTCCCGAGATGGTGCGGGGTGCCCGCTGCAGCCTGCGCGGCGTCGACACCCGACATGACCACTTCCGCGCGCTTGAGGAGCAGAAGGAGGTGGGAGGATATTTTGTGATGCGCGGCGGGGAGCGCATTGTGCGTGCCCTGCTGATGCAGAGGTGCAATGTCCCGCTCAACATTTACCGCGAAAGATTCTCGTCGCAAGGCCCATTCTTTTCCCCAAAGGCGGTGGTCATTCGTTGCAAGCGGCCCAGTGGTTTGACGATTCAGAACTATTTTTACTACACCACCACCGGTGAGGTCGTTTTCAGTTTTGCGCGTAAAGTGGTTTGGCATATTCCTGTCCCGCTCCTGCTGTTTGCGTTGAACACCCGCCACTGTTCCTCGCTGGAGATGTACAAGCTGCTCACGATTGGCTTCACCAGCAGCAGCAGCGCCCACGTGGCCCGCGTCGAGGCACTTCTGCAGCATCACCACCAAAAACCATACGGGTCGCTGGTGCATTTCTTGGACTACATCGCAGTACTGGGCCGAATGTACCGGTGCTACCACGAAACATCCAACACCTTTCACTTTCTGCCACAGTTTCATGCGACGTATCAGGGCCAGCATGACGCCTGGTACGGGCTGTTTATGCTTCGCCGCCACGTCTTGCCGCACCTGAACGTCGATGAGCCAACGCCGGATTTGCCGCCCACTGCCTCTCTGGAGGCGGCCACCAGCTGGCTCTCCCCGAAGCTCCTTCAGGAGTTGGATGCCAAACTGGATGCCATGATTGCCATTGTGCGACAGCTGTACGCCTTTTTTGACGGCAACACGGAGCATCAGGGCAACGACGTCCCCGCCTACCAGGAGATATTTACCGTCTCACAAGTTCTCATGGGCGGTTTCGAGGTTTGCCTCAACAAGTACATGAAAAGTTTTGTGTATCGCATGGGAAGCCACATTCCCGCCCATCTTTTTAAATCCATTATGCAACTGGACGAGCTGTCGGGGAAGGAGTTGGGTGGGGTTACTAATCAGCTGCGACAGTATACAGAGTACAGTGAGCGACGCAGCATAAGTGAACCGCTAGACGCGTTGCACCGCCTACTGATCACCGGGAACCTGACGCTAGACCGTGAGGAGGATTTTTACTGTCCTCAAACATCCGGGTGGGTTGTGATGGCAGAGCATCTGAACTTTTACCGCTTTTTTGAGCAGCTGCGGTGCTTACATCGAGGCAAAACAATTGCGGACATGCGTTCCAGCGAGGTGCGCAAATACCCCTGCGAGGCATTTGGGTTTATCTGCATGGTCCATAGCCCGGATGGGGCGGACTGTGGTGTATTGAACCATATGAGCATCAGCACAATTGTGTCCAACACACCCCCCGCAGGGTCTCGACAGGAAGGGGAGCTGTTGGCGTGCATCAAAGGGGAAATTCCAAGCCTTCGCAACGGCGGCTCGTTGGATTCTCTTGTAGATCGCCTAGTGGGCACAGTTCCTGTCTGGTTGGAGGGAAAAATGCTGGGGTACCTAACACCAGAGGAGGCACAGCGGGTGAGCAAGGCGCTGCTTCGAAAGAAGGCGTTGAGAAATCGTGATAGCATGGAACTGAGCGGTATTGTGCGCCGTCGAAACGTGAGCGCCTTCAACGCAATCGAGGTTGTTTTTGTCCCACCAGGCAATAAGGATCCACAGGGGTTGTACATATTTTATGACAATGGCCGTATGATGCGTCCTGTGCAGCAGCTCGAGTCTGCCTCCGGCGGCAGCGATTTGCCCTTTCCCTTGGTGTACGTCGGGACCTGGGAGCAGACGTGGCTCGACATCGCCAGTGTCCCCTCGGACCTCCTCGACGGGGTCACGCAGCTGAACCGCAAGTATGAGTTTATGGAGCAGAACGGGAGTAACATTCTCAGCCTAACCTCGACAACGATTCCTTTTTTTGAATACAACTGTTCGCCGCGAAACCTGTTCCAGTGTGGCTTGTCCAAGCAGTCTGCCGGAACTCAGCTGCAGTCACTAGCGTGGCGCAAGGAGGCAAAGCTGTTTCGCATGTACGCTCCACAACGCTACATTAGCCGAACTCTACCGATGGATTATTACGGCCTAGACGATGTGAATTTGGGCGTGAATGCCGTAATTGCCATTTTGGCCTATACCGGCTATGACTTGGACGACGCCGTCATTTTAAACAGCACCGCCTCCCAGTTTGGCATGCTCAACGCCGGCATTACGGTGGCTAAAGTGATCACCGCCGGCGGCAAAGGGGATAAGGATGACGTCTTTGTCTTTCAGAACCTCTTGTCGAACGGGCAGCCCTTCACGCCTGAGCTGGACGCTCATGGGCTGCCGAGAAGACGCGCGGCACCTGGTACGACGGAATGGCTTTCCTTTGATTCGGACCACAAGTACCCCAGCCTGCGCGACAGTAGTGCGGTGTATTGCTGCGCCAAACGCTACGAACGCGTGGACCCCCTCATGAATAAGAAGGTGTACGAGTACGCCCGCCACCACGTTACAAAGTGGAGGCAGTTTGACAAAGGGGAAAACGCCTGGGTTCACAGTGTGATTCCTCTCACCTACGATGGACCCGACCCAACCAGCGCACTTGTCGTGTTTCGTATTCCTCGCCCACCCGCCATTGGCGACAAATTCTCCTCTCGCCACGGACAGAAGGGGACGCTTCCACTGCACATTCGAGCCCACGATTTGCCGTTTAGTACGCGTGACGGTATCACGCCAGATATCATAATTAACCCACATGCCTTTCCCTCGCGCATGACGGTGGGGATGGTGCTGGAGATGATGGGGGCGAAGCTGGGCGCGATCGAGGGCCGCTTTTGCGACCACAGCGCATGGAGCGTGGTGGACGAGCGGCCACGCTTCGCCGAGGTTATTGGGGATTCCTTGCAAAAGGCCGGCTACAACCGCTACGGACGGGAGAAGCTCATTGATGGCATTAGCGGGGAGGAGATGGAGGCGGACGTGTTCATGGGCATCTCCGGGTACCAGCGGCTGCGGCACATGGTGAACGACAAGTGGCAGGCGCGCGCCCGCACCGACTCCCACACGCACCGCGCCGTCACAAAGACGGGGCAGCCGGTCAAGGGGCGCAAGCGGCACGGCGGGGTGCGGGTGGGCGAGATGGAGCGCGACGGCTTGCTCTCGCACGGCAGTGCCGAGGTGGTGGTGGACCGTCTCCTGCACGTCTCCGACAAGACAAAGGCCTTGATATGCGTGGAGTGCGGCTCCCTCCTCTCCATATACGAGCGACACGCGACGGAGTACTCCACGTGGAAGACGTGCAAGTTTTGCGGTGCCGGATCGCAGGAGGCGACGGACACGATTGCGTTTGTGGAGATTCCGCAGGTGCTGCGCCTGTGGGCCGCGGAGCTCGCCAGCATCGGCATCCGCGTCGTGCTGAAGACGAGCGACGGGGTCGCGTGAAGCCGGCGAGATGAGGCGGGCAAAAAAAAAAGCAGGGGCGAGCGGCAGCGAATTGAGTTCATAACGTTTAAAATCCAAATTGCATGAATTAAGAAGAAAAACAAAACACGACTGGAGAATTAAGAAGAGAAGACAAACAAAAAAAACACACACACACGCTCAAACACACAAAGTCCCCGGGAGAATGACGCGTAGTGCGAGGAGTAAATGGCGAAGGCAACGGGCGGCAAAATGGAGGGGAAGGTCTATTCTTCGATAACTCCCTCTTCCTCTTTCTCTTTGTGTGTGTGTGCGTGTGTGTTTGTGCCCGGATTAAGTGGTTCTTTTTCCGCCACTTTCTGTGCATGCCACAGCCGCGTGGGTGGGTGGGGAGGGGGGAGGGAGGCGTTCTTTTTTTTCCCCAACTTTTCTCCCCCGCACTAGCCATGGATGCGCCACTCATTTGGCTCTTTTTTTTCTTGATCTCTCTTTTCTGGCTGGGAGTAACCGCTTGAAGAGGTGACATGCTCAATCGGCGGCGGGCGGGGGCAACAACAGCAAGCTCCGAATTTGCCGTTGTGGAAGGGCGTCTTGCCGCATTTGCGCCGCACCACCTGCCTACGCTGCTCACAGGACTCGATGCCGATGAGGGGGAGGGCGTGGTTCCCGCGGAGGTTTCCGTCGCGGGGCGCCCCGCGCGCCAAAAGTCAAGGTCGACGCAGGTGATTCTTTTTCTTTGCCTAAACATCGGCAGTGACCCGCCGGACTGCCCACGGATCGAGCCCTGTTCGCGACTGGAGTGCTGGATTGACCCCCACGTGGCGCAGATTTCCCGTTTTTCCCCGGAGGGCGGCGGCGACTCCATCGCGGAGAGTTTGGAGCGGCAGTACCGCTCCCAGCAGCGGGATGCCGCCTTCAAGCGGGCGGTGGACGCCCACTTGGAGGAGGCCAAACATCTCATGGCGGCGTCCCGCCGGAAGGCGGACAGTGGTAGGGTGTTGTTGCACTACAACGGGCACGGCATGCCGCGGGCGACGGACTACGGTGAGATTTGGTTCTTTGACAAGGACCGCACGCACTACGTGCCGATGAACATTGTGGAAATGTCACAGCTGCTGGACTCGCCCACGCTCTACGTCTTGGACTGCAACTCGGCCGGCTCCATCCTGCAGCACTGGTACAAGGAACGCCTGCACGAAACCCGGCCCCATGACATATTTTTTTGCGCTTGCAGTGCGGGAAGTTTTCTTCCGCTGAATCCGCAGCTTCCTGCCGATGTCTTGACGTCGTGTCTTACGACACCCCTGCGAATGGCGTTGGAGTGGTATATTAGTTTTTCGCATCGTAGGCATTTGCTACCAAATGTAACGGCTGAAATGATACACAACATTCCAGGCGAACTCTCCGAGCGGAAATCGCCGCTGGGAGAACTTAATTGGATTCTTATCGCTGTGACCGACACCGTTGCATGGTGCACGACGCCTCCGGCTCAGTTTTACCAGCTGTTTCGACAGGACACAATGGCAAAGACCCTTTTTAGAAGTTTTTTATTGGCGGACCGTATATTGCGTGAGGTGGGATGTGTTCCTGTGGCACATCCCCCCATCTCAGCACAGGCGCACTTGCACCACGTCTGGGATCTCTGGGAATACACGTTGGAGCAGGTCATTTGTCAGTTGCCGGAGCTGCTGACCGCGGAGCTCACGGTGAAATCAGGATACACGTACAAGCCTTCCACCTTCTTTCTGGACCAGCTAATAGCCTTTAAGGTGTGGGTGGAATCTGGTGATCTGCGAGAGCAACCTGAGGAACTTCCAAGTGTCCTTTTGGCCCTCACGCAGATTTCCTACCGAGTACCCGCACTAACACTCTTGGTGCGGTACATGGATTCCGGCGTGAGTGCCGGCAGGCGTGCGATTCACTGTGGGATCTTGCCCTACGCCAGCAAACTCCTTGTGCAGACCCCCGATGTGTTTTTACTCGTGAGTGTATTGTGGATGCAGTTGATCCGGGCCTCCTGCCATCAAGGGACAGAGGAGCTGCTTAAATCACGGTTGGATAAGTATTTTATTCGTGTTTTGCAATTGGATGAAAAGAGCACAAACTTCATGCCCGTCGGAGATGATCGGGCCGTGGAAACGTTTCTCAGTAATGGTAATTGTTGTACTTCCGGTGGTATTCCAGCCGCCTCAGTTGTGGACTTCGCTGAGAGCGCCACCTGTCCTACAGCCATGCCTAACGGGGATACAAAGTACTACCTCTTGAAGGAGCTGGATCTACATCGCTGTAAGGCCATGGCATGCTACGTGCTCTGTCAGTGGATGAAATGCGGAGGTGAGCAGCAGTACGTGGCGTGTTGGAACAATCAATTGTTGAATGCTGCCTTTTCTCTTTTGGAGTCGCCGAATGCGGAGGTTCGTTCTTGGTCCTGCTTGGTACTTGCCCAGCTGTTTTCGGGCCTGCGACACGCAAAGGAGTTTGCCTCCATGGAATGCACCACCCACCTGGATCTTTTCACGTGTCTGCTGCAGGATAAATCCCCTATTGTGCGCAGCTCTTGTGTGACGTTGCTGGCGTCGCTGGTGGGGTTTCAGGTCGACGTCCTCCCTGTGGAGGGTCAGATCCGCCGTGTGCAGATGGAAAAATCACTCCTTATTAAACTACGCGGCTTTATCTTTGATGCGAGTATGAGTGTTCGCGAGGAGTTGATATTTTTTGCTTGCCAGGTGCTCTTTCACTACGAGAGCCTGTTGTCCACGCTGCAGTCGAGCAGCACCGCAAATCGCTACATGGATTACGTCCAGGAAGTTGGCAAGTACTCCCCAACTTGGATGGTGGATGAGCCGGACGTGCGGGTCACGTCGCAGTTAAGTGTCTCGCGGCCCACAAGCAACACGCGTTTTGCGCAGGCCGTGATTTTTACGACGGGGTTTCTCCCCAGAGACGACCCCGCCCCCTCCGCCGCGGGCCTCTGCCGGGAGGCCATCGACCCCAAGGTATTGAAGATGCTGCGGGAGATGGTACACGATGCCGCGCTGATGTTGTTCACGCTTTACCACACCTGCGACACAAATAAGGTGGTGGCGGCGATAAAGGCGTTGCTGACGCAACGGCCACCGCAGTCGCATCGCTTTGAAAAGGAGTCTCTCCGAAGCATGTCTCGTGTTGTCTCAACCGACTCCTCACACGTTGTATCCGAGGCGGATCGAGCACGCTCAACAAGGAATGCCGATAACATGCGACAGTTGGTGCTGGACATGCAGGACCGAAGGTTGGAACCGATGGCGGCTCATGGCCACAGAAACAAGTCCTCAAAGGTGGAGGATAATGGGATGCACAGAGGCAACGGTGCCGCCTCCAGTTCTGTCACCACGCGTTATCAGGTGCTACCAAGCCTGATTCCTGGCGATCAAATCACTGTCGCCACATTCCGTGCCTTGGAACCCACGATGGTTTTAGCTACCAAGAATAGGCGCATTTACCACACTTCGTATGAGACATATAACACCCAAACACACATCTATGGCTTTTCCGTTCCCCTTTTTGCCCCGTTGCATGATGTGTTGGTTATCAATGACTTGTCTGAGCAGGCTGGATTGCTGCTTGTGACCAAGGAAGGCGGCTTTAGTCTTATTAGAGGGTGTTGGGGAGAGGGACAGGGAAGGCCAACCGAGGTGGCCGCGTTTTCTGCGTGTCCACCAAGGGGTATTGTCGACATCAAGTCTGTCTACCGGTCCTACAATGCCAATCTCTTGTACGGAGGTCCGATTGGCAGCAATGGTGGGACCGAGATTCACGTGCTTTCCCTGGACGAGGAGCAGGTCATTCAACGAATGAGGGTTTCTGGGGATCCTACGCTGACGTCCTTGACGGCACACACAACAACGCGGGCAATTTTTGCGGGGTGCTCCGATGGTGTGGTCCGTTATTACGACGATCGCCAGAAACAAGGATTTCTTGGCGTTGTGGGGATGTTTAATTGCAAGGGGCTCTCGTCCTCGGCCTCCTCTTTCACCGCTTCGTCCTCCACTGCTGAAGCTATTGTTGGTGCAGGCCCCGTGGAAACAGGCACCGGTGCCTTTATGGTTGCCGCGGCAACTCGCAGCGCTGTGCATATCTACGACTGCCGCAAATTCACGGAGCCTGCATTCGAGGTGGATGTTTTTTCGCTCTGCGGCGGCCATGGCGGCTGGCCTTCTGTGACTCGATCCCCTTCCATTATTGCCTTTGCGACGGGTGTGCATACGGGGTTGTTGGGAGCTCTTCTTTCCGGTGGCAGCTATCTCGCCATGAATGCGCGGGGAAGAGCACTGCTAGAGAAGCCAATCAAAGTTTCGAACACGCAAGGGTCGCCGTTGCCAGGAAGCTGCGCGGTGCATCCACTGCGTCCCTTCATGTCGGTGGGAGGGGAGATCATGTACATGCACTGAGGATTGCTGGTCATGGGGACGCGGATGCGGAGGATGCTAGTGGCAGTGGCGGTGGTGGTGGTGCCGGACAAGCGCAGAGGATAGCGGATTAAAGTTTGTTGGCGTCGCAAATTGTGTTTACCTTTTTTTTAAAACAGTTTTTTTTATTTTTTATTTTTATTTTTGTTTATGCTGGACGGAAAAAAAGAAAAAAGAGAAAAAACAATTGTCTTCAAATGCGTTCGTGCTTCGGCGCGGAAGGAGGATGTTGTGTCGCTTTGTGTGTCGTGTGTCGATTGGAGCCGCAGAATGACGCCGCTGCCACCAATTGTACGTCTCTTCCACGCCTTTTCTTGCCCACGCCAGTCAAGTCGCGGAAATGGACTACGTTGTCCTCACCCCCACGGAGCTCACCCTGTGGAGGGAGAAGGCGGCGCCGACGATACGCAAGGTGACGGACCTGCTGCTGCGCGGCGGCGCTATTGGGTTCCTGGAGATGGAGCGAAACCTCCATCTGGGCTCGGAGGAGAAAGGCAAGGCCGCCACGGGAAAGAGGCGCGTCAACCCTGTGCTGTTCAAGTCGATTATGGGCAAGTCCGGGGTACTGCTGACCCCGGATGAATATAGAAATCTTCGCACGGCCTACTCGGATGAGGGCGGATTTCTCGTGGACGATTTTGTCGCGCTTGTCTGCCCCTTGCGGAGTCTTGGGGCCCGTGAGGCGGGCATTTTGCGAGACATGTGTGCGGGTGCCACGCGTGCCACCACCGCCACGTTTGCCTTGAATGACCTAGTGCATACGCTCGAGGACGCGCTTTCGTCGAGCGAAGCCGCCGCCGACGAAAGTGGTGACGCGGCACCGATTTTTGCTTCTGCGCTGATGGAACTCCAATTGGTCTTTAACCGCTCGCGCTATCCGAAGGGGTTTGTGCCGCCGCTGGACGTGATGAATGCCTTTGCGGCGATACTTCTCAACAGTGCGGGTGCCGGCGAGCCACTTTTGAAGTGCCTGGCCGCGGTGAGGCTGTCCCCCGCAACTTCCTCGCCTGCTTCACCTGCGCTCACCCTCAGCCCTGCGGCGACGGTCGACGCAACTCGGCAGCCGCGCGGGTATGACTACTACACCGACCGCGACAACCGAGATGAGTGGATCCGCGGGAGAGAGGAGGCCCCGCCGCGGCCGATGTACCAGCGCCACCTGCCCGGCTATCAAGGACACCTGCCCACGTACTCCAGCAAGTTTGGCCGGTCGTTTCACCCGATTGAGGAGTCGATGCCGGAGCTCTCACGTCCGAAGGCTCAGCTCGAGCCGGTGCCTGCCGATCGCTACGGCCCTGCAGTGGAGTTACGGGGCACCTGGGTAAATCGGCACCACTTTAAACTGGCCTAGGCGGAGCAGGGACCGCGGCGGGGCGAGGCGAGGACGCGTATGTAAAATTACTCAATCAGCCACGGCAAAAAAAAAGAAAAGAAAAAAGAAACGCTGCCAAGCACGTGAGGGACAATCAGCATCCTGGCCCTCCCTACTGTGAATGTCTCTGGAGGCAGCGCGAGGGCGAGAGAGAGCGAGCAAGAGAGAGCCAGCAAAGGGGGCTTCAAGGAGGGGAAAATGTGTTGATATATTCCTGTTTTCCCTTTAACGTATCTGTTCTTTTTTTTTTTCCTATTTTCTAGTTTCTGTGCGGAACTGTTAGGAGCTTCACAGACCTTACACTTCAAAAGGGACACCACCCCATGCTGCGTCCTGTTCGCTCCTTTCCAGTAGCGTTATGCACACCACGCCGGTATGCGGCCTCTGCAAAATGGTTCAGTAACGCGAACGACGCTAACTCCTTTATGGGTGCCTTGAAAGGAGTATTGCTTTGCCTCTGTGGCATTGCGTGTATCAATTTGTGGTTTCGTGGCAGCGTTTTAGGGAAGGTGAATACGGAAAACGATGTTTACATTCCCGTGGCGGCGCTGCGGACAAAAGTACATGAGCCAAGGACCGATGGTTTTGTTGATGGCTTGGACGCGGTGGAACGCGGCGACAACACGCAGCGAAGACACTAATGGAGGTGTGTGGGTGCGTATGCGTCCCTTTCATCTTGCGCGTTATTCCTTCTCTTTTTGTTATTGCCTGCAAAAGCCCCCTCCAGCGACGCATTGCTGTTTAATGTGTGTTTCGTTTTTTTTTGTACTACTTTCTAGTCCGTTTTTTTTCTCGTCTTTTTCTTCCTTTCTTTTGCTTGCTCACTTTTCTTTCTTTTCCCCACCTCCTTTCATGTTGTTTGCCCCTATCGCCTGCAGAGAGTCTACGTGGCAGTCCGAACAACTTGTTATATTGCTCCATGTCGGCCAAGGCCGCTCCAAAGACGCTGCACCAGGTGCGGAACGTGGCGTACATCTTCGCCGCATGGGCGGGCCTCCAAAAGGGGTTCGCAGAGAAGTCTGCCAACGATAAGCTGTGGGTGGAACATCAGCGACGGATACGCCAAGAGAACGTCGAGCGACAGCATGCAGCGCATGCGCTTGAGGAATTAAAGCACGATGAGGAGCTGGAGAGAGCCATTCCCGCCATCGTGCCCCAGGAACTTCACGGGCTTGTTAAGGCGCTTGAGCAGTAGGTGCTGCTGGGTCAGGCTTCTTTACTCTACTCTCGCTGTGCGTTTTTGCACTGGGGAGATGTTGTGCAGGCAAAGGTTAACAAATAGGTGTTTATTTTCATTCGTGTTTTAGGTAGCAGTTGTAGTCCCCGTAAGGGCGCGTGTGTGTGTGTCTGTGTGTGAAGGAAGATGAAGAGTGTAACGCCGAGTGGTAATGCGGTGCTTCGCCGGTATCAGGAAGCCCGTTGCTGCTCTCCCATTCACTGATCTTGTAGCTCGAGGGGAGGAAACTGAGTTGCGGGTTAAGTGAGTGTGGGAGAGGGGGTTCTCGGCGTTGCCTGGTGCCTCTTCCCTGCAGGTTGGTCTCTCTCATGCGTCGTTGGTGCGGAATTCTTTATATATATATATATATGCATATATGTTTCTATCTCTATCTTTTTTTTTTCTCCCCCCCGCCTTGCGCCTCACTATTTCGCTAGTGCTAGAAGGATTTTTTTTTCCTCTTTTAATTTTTGTCCCCACGGCTGTATTAATTTGGGTGCTGCCGTCGTGGACCTTTTTTTTTGGGGGTATAACGTAGGCTGCTGGACGGCTGAGGCGCCTTTTGCGGGGAGGAGAGGGAACCGGCTTCTTCGTCGGTCTCTGACACTTCCGTGATCGCCTCACCCGCCCTGCAGTGCACCCTCCGCGCGAGAAGCACGGCGAGGAATCCGTTTCGCCTACACCCGCATCCGTGCACGCTGCGGTGTGGGAGGTGTAGACGCGGTGCAGCCTCTTCTCGCGGGAGGCGCCTTTTTGGTTGAACCAATCGCGGTGTAACGTCCTAAAATGACGGCCTTGTCACTTGTGCTGCCCAGCCTCGATCAGGCCGTGGTGGGGTTCGAGTCTATGGACTCGTGCAGTGTGGATGACGTGGAGGTGGCCGTGGAAAACGCCCACAACTGCCGGATGTTTCTCTTGGCCATGGAGTTCCTGCTACAGAAGCAATGGGAGCACTACCGCCCCCATGACGGTGGCTTCTCTGACGCACCACAACAGATGCAGGAAGGGGAGCTCTGTCAGTACTTCCCGGTTCATCAAGTGCCTGTGCGTGGAAGTGCCTGCTGTGCTGAAAAGCAGCATCGGACTTTGTTTGGGGGCGGTGCGGCGGGCCTGTTACGTGACTTTATTTACCGTCTTATTTGTCACGCGCGCTGCAGCATCGAGTGCTATCCGATTACACTCGCACTCGTGGACCGCTTTTTTGTGTCCCTGGGGAAGGATTCCGTCGCGGCGGAGTACGAGGCGGCGGCGGATCACTTGCCGTACGTGTTTGCCGTGTTGTTGTTAATCACAGCGAAGTACCGCGACGACAGGTTCCGGAGCAACCGTTACTTTAGCCAGCTGGCGGAGATTTCCCTGGTAGAGTGGAATGCGCTGGAGCGACTCGTAATTCGTGTTTTAAAATTCTGCGTGAACGTGCCGGTGCTTGAGTACTTTGCGTACGAGAAGCTGCTGCTCGCAGAAATGACGCGACAGGAAGGCAGAGCGAACGCCCTCGCCTCACTTGGCCAGAGCCCTCCCCCGGAGAAGGTGACCAGTTCGCTGCGACTCGGCAATGATGCTCCCACCCCGGGCGTCGATTGGGCGGAGACGGCGAGCAAAGATAACACCAGTTTTCATTCCTGCGGTATCACCGCCTCGCCGCCATCGTTGCATTCTCAATGCCCTCCTGTCTCCGCCGAGAGCTCACCGGCGTGTTGGCGGCGGAGCTCGTAGCCAATACGCACCGGCGCTTGAGGTTTGTTTCTATGCTTGAGGATGCTTCACCCTCTTTTCTTACACGCACATACACACACACACATATATATATATATATAGGGGCTTGTAATGGAGGCGAGTGAGGGACATGTATGAGCGTGCGAGGCCCGGCCAACCACTTAGCTGGCCGGTCTTGCCGCCAGAGTGACACCCACCTTTATGTGCAGACGCGTCTATATGCAGTGTATGTGATGGGTGCAGTGGGATGGTGACATCTGTGTAGGATATTTCTTCTTTCAGCGTAATTGTTTTTTGTTATTCTTCTTCTTTTGCTTCTTGCGCTAAATAGCCTTGCGGGTTACTCAATCACCTGCTTTGTGGTTCTTTTGTTGCTTCCCCCTTTTTTTTTTCTATTTGTGGTTTCTAGCTGCCGTCCGTCACTCTACCCCATGTTAGTCGTTATATATCTATTTATATATGCATCTCTATCTATTTATATGTATGTGTCTTTGTATATTTCGCCGCTCACTGTTTAGAGCTATATGTGTAACTACAGCCACCAATACCATGAGCATATGTGTGTGTGTGTGTGCACATACCTGTGTGCAACGCACGGCCCTATATGAGAGGATTCATACAAGAAACCAACGATACAAACGCTTTGAGAAATAAGAATAATGTACACGCTTTTTTTTTGTTCTTTTTTAATTTTTTTCTTTTTTTATGTGTTTCTGCTTTGTTTTTGCTTCGCGGCTATTTTGGTTGCGTTTATAATATATATATATATTTATGTCTATGCATGTATATATCTCTCTCTCTATGTGTGTGTGTGTGTGTTTCTGCTTGGCACACTCGCGCCCGCACGCCCTCTCCTCCGCATGCCCAGGCACGCACGGCCGCCACGCGTGCCAACCTCGCCTTGCAAGAGGCGGCGAGTGCGGCGTGGCGGCGCGAACACTGTGATGTTGGCAGGCGGGGGGAGGGGCCGAGGAGAAATCAAAAACACCAACAGCAACAGCAGCCGCCGCCGCAATGAGCGAAACCAGAGGTGGTGAACAAACACGCGCCTTCCCCAACGGCCCGGGACGCGACGCGGTCACGCCGGTGCGGCACGCACGACGTGTCACGAAAAGAGGCCCTCCCCCCTCCAACTAAGACGAAGGGGGGAGGGGACGGAGGGCGGTTGGAAGTTGGGGGTCCGAGGGCCAAAAGAAAAAAGAAGAAAAAAAAAGGAAGAGGGAATGTGAGTAAGCAGGAGGATCAAAATTTTTTTTTTGTTGTGTGTTTTTTTGTTTGTGCCCTGTCATTGAATGGCGAATGACGCGGTATGTCTTTCAGCGTGGAGCCGCGGCGAGAGAAGCGTTGAGGCACGAGAGGGGAGGCCAGAGAAAATATCCGTTCAGCGAACAGAAGAAGAAAAACAAAAAAGTATAAAATATAAAGTGCGGACCGTGATAATTTGCTCCACTACGATGCGGGTGTCTTCACAGGACGTTGGAGAGAAACGCGGTGGCGCTACGGCACGGGCGAGGCGTGTGGACGCA